CCAATAAAACTTCTCTGCCTGTGTGTGTGTATATTGCCCTGTCTTTTGAAGTTGGTCCCTCTTCCTGGCTTTAGATCTAATCTCTGTTCCTGCTCTCCTAAGACCCCAATAAACTCTAGCTCCCCCATTCCATCAGCCAAGTGGTGTGGTAATAAAGTAATTGTGGACCCTCTTTGCTAGACTGTAAATCTGATGAGAGTCAGTGTTTTAGTAAACCAGTCTCCTTGATGTTAAGATTCTTAACAGAACACAAGGGTTAAACAGTGCTCCAGTTGGCTAACACAGTAAATTCTAACCAGTGATTCAGTGCACACATAGGGTGATATGTAACTACATAACATAAACTCAACTATGAGATTATAATGTATAAAATTATATATGCTATATAATAAAACCCTAACTAATTATATTCATTTCTATCTAAAAATGAAAATCACCCTAACATAAAACAAACAATAAAGACTTTATATCTATTTTCACTCAATTGTAATATCTTATATTCATTTTAATTCAATTTAATTTTATTTGTATAGCACCAAATCACAACAAAAGTCATCTCAGGACACTTTACAAAGTAAGGTCTAGACCTTAGTATTATAGAGGAAAACCCAACAAATCCCCCTTGAGCAGCACTTGGCGACAGCGGGGAGGAAAAACTCCCTTTAACGGAAGAAACCTCCGACAGACCCCGGCTCTTGGTGGGTGGCCTTCTGCCTTGACCGGTTGGGGTGAGTGGATAGAGGAGAGACAAAAGAAAAAAAGCAACAACAAATAATCAAACACTGGGCAGGCTCATGTGGCCGGTGACTGCTCATCCGGAGCTCCAGAGCCAGGGAAACCCACAGAAAGGTACAGGGAGAGAGAGGAGGGACACAATATGTATATATATTTTAAATAATCATTTAATATTATAGTTATTCTGAGCAGGGTGGTAGTTAGGTAATCCGGTAGTTTGGGAGCAGAGAACAGAATCACTCCTCCTGCTATTGTGATTGATAAAGTATTAAATAAGGAGATTGTCACGGAGTCAGTCAGTCATTGTTGACCACAAGGTACAGTCAGTCAGAGTCTAGAGTCCCCCCGGCTGGGTCCAAATGCACACTCACGACTGCAGCACCATCACTCTCTCCCTAACCCACAGCTGTCCTAACTTTTATCTTCTCGCAGTTACATAGCCTTCTATGGCTTGAGTCAGAGTCACAGTCCTATACCAGCTCTACACCCCTTCTTCCAAGCATTGTCTAAGATGTCCAGTACATGAACGTTTAGGTCGCATTGACCTAGTGCACATTTCCTTTTTCTAAACATGAACAGAGCACATCAACAGTTCACATAATTCTGAAGCTATGTCCATTTCCCATTTAAGGAGGAATTCTCTCTGGATATTTACCCATAAATTAAACAAGGAGAACACAATCAAAGATATTCTTGCTTGAGCAAGAGAAGACAAGAGAAACAGATCAATCTTACATAAACACTTAGCTCACCCTTACATGACTACTACAAATAATATCTCTATATGAACTATACACTATTCTATTACATATTACCTCTGGACTGGTACCTTGTTTGTTTTTGACCACTACATGGTATATGTACTGATGGAAAGAGATGTGTAACACTCTAAACAAAGCAGGTAAATGAGAAAGCCAATATTTTAACTGCCGTAATGCAGACATAGTAATGTCTCCAGCCTTATAACAATTTTCTCTAACATTACAGAAACAAGGCATTAGCAGATGTGCAAAATGTGTTTTTTTTAAACTTACTGTTAAGTCCCACCTAGTAGTGGAAACATCACTCCCTTTCAAGTAGCTCCAAGGTCGGAAGATCCAACCGGTGATCACTGCGTCTTCCCTAACATGACCACATACAGTCCCAAAGTAGTGAAATTAATTCCAACAGGTAGCATAGCACCGACAATAACATCATGGGTCATTAATCCTCTTGTTAACCGGTATCACATCACATGTGGCAGACACACTGGCCTCAAGCTGTCAAAACAAACAGGTACTGTGCTCTGGGGGAATCCAGCATTGATGAGCTGATCATTCACTGCCGCCGGGGGCTTCAATGGCCGGCTGACTGTAGGTTAGACCCGGTCAGGTAGAGCAGCGAATCCCGCTACAGGAACATCCCTGCTGTAAACTCAGGCCCTGTATACTGTATTTCTCCACATCTGCTGGTCAGAGTGCAGCGGCAGGAGGAAAAATATATTCATAAAACCAAGCACAGTCGAAAAAAATTCTGCTTTTACAATGGCATCGGTGGATGTCATGTACAAACAAGATAATATAACATTTTGCCAATATGGTGGGGACACTGGTGGATGTCAGGCGAGCTCACATGAATGCGCAACTGCCTGGAGATTATGCCCATTCAAAGAAATACTTACAGTGCCTTGCGAAAGTATTCGGCCCCCTTGAACTTTGCGACCTTTTGCCACATTTCAGGCTTCAAATATAAAGATATAAAACTGTAATTTTTTGTGAAGAATCAACAACAAGTGGGACACAATCATGAAGTGGAACGAAATTTATTGGATATTTCAAACTTTTTTAACAAATAAAAAACTGAAAAATTGGGGCATGCAAAATTATTCAGCCCCCTTAAGTTAATACTTTGTAGCACCACCTTTTGCTGCGATTACAGCTGTAAGTCGCTTGGGGTATGTCTCTATCAGTTTTGCACATCAAGAGACTTAAATTTTGCCCATTCCTCCTTGCAAAACAGCTCGAGCTCAGTGAGGTTGGATAGAGAGCGTTTGTGAACAGCAGTTTTCAGTTCTGTCCACAGATTCTCGATTGGATTCAGGTCTGGACTTTGACTTGGCCATTCTAACACCTGGATATGTTTATTTGTGAACCATTCCAATGTAGATTTTGCTTTATGTTTTGGATCAGTGTCTTGTTGGAAGACAAGTTATGTTTGGCGTAAAAGCAACACAGCTCATCACCCTGAACACACCATCCCCACTGTCAAACATGGTGGTGGCAGCATCCTGGTTTGGGCCTGCTTTTCTTCAGCAGGGACAGGGAAGATGGTTAAACTTGATGGGAAGATGGATGGAGCCAAATACAGGACCATTCTGGAAGGAAACCTGATGGAGTCTGCAAAAGACCTGAGTACTGGGACGGAGATTTGTCTTCCAACAAGACAATGATCCAAAACATAAAGCAAAATCTACAATGGAATGGTTCACAAATACACATATCCAGGTGTTAGAATGGCCAAGTCAAAGTCCAGACCTGAATCCAATCGAGAATCTGTGGGAAGAACTGAAAACTGCTGTTCACAAACGCTCTCTATCCAACCTCACTGAGCTCGAGCTGTTTTGCAAGGCGGAATGGGCAAAAATTTCAGTCTCTTGATGTGCAAAACTGATAGAGACATACCCCAAGTGACTTACAGCTGTAATCGCAGCAAAAGGTGGCGCTACAAAGTATTAACTTAAGGGGGCTGAATAATTTTGCACGCCCAATTTTTCAGTTTTTTATTTGTTAAAAAAGTTTGAAATATCCAATAAATTTCGTTCCACTTCATGATTGTGTCCCACTTGTTGTTGATTCTTCACAAAAAAATTACAGTTTTATATCTTTATGTTTGAAGCCTGAAATGTGGCAAAAGGTCGCAAAGTTCAAGGGGGCCGAATACTTTCGCAAGGCACTGTAAACTATCACATAATAGTGTTATGATTTGGCTTCACTTCCTGTTTTTGTACTTTTATTTTGGTTTTCTTTCCTGTTCTGCTCCACCTCTCCTGCCCCAGCTTTACATCCATATATACCACCTCCTTTCCCTCAGTCACTTACTGGTCCATTAACGACACTCCCAATAATTACTCTGTTCATGATAGTTCCATTAACCTGTGGTTCTCGTTCCTGCCTGGTTTGCGCCCCACGACATCAGTACACTGTGTTCCTCATTTCAACCTGGTTTGCTCCTGACGCCGCCAGAGAGCTGTGTGAGCCCCCTTTGGTCCTGTGTCTGCTACTCACCTGTGTGCATCGTTCCTGCCTGGTTTGTTCCTGATGGCACCATAGAGCAGTGGGGGTCTTCCTCAGTTCTGTGTCAGCTATTCGCCAGTGTCTTACGTTCCTGTCTGGTCTGCTCCTGCCAACACCATTACTGGGCAGGAGACCCTCCCAGTCCTGTAGCCAACTCACCTCTGTGCGGAGTTTGCATGTTCTCCCTGTGCTTGTGTGGGTTCTTTTCGGGTACTCCAGCTTCCTCCCATTGTCCAAAAACATGCGGCTTTGTTGGAAACGCTCTGGTAGGGAGGTGAGCGAGTAAAAAATGATGGACCCAGGTAGCTGACTTCGGTGCAAGAAGTGCGCTATTTATTTACAGTGACAATACGTGTACAACCAGGTAAAGGAATATGGAGCAGAACCGGGTGTCGAGCAGCAGTCATGGAAAACATACAGTCAGTGATGAGATGATAAGGAGGAGGCCGGGCTGCGGACGCTAGGATTCACTCCTGAACTGGTCGTGGAGGTTGGTTGCTGAGGGGACAAAGTCAGAGTAACGGTTAATGGAAGACTGTGCATGGACCTGCGTGGTGGAGTGATGTGGAGTAGTGGAGGTCCGTGGTCCGAAGGAGCGATAGCAGCTGGGAAGACAATACACGGGGCACAAGGCAGGAACGGACCTGGGAAGAACAGCGTGAGATATATATATATGACAAATAATAGGTAGGCATAGAATAGGGCTAGAGTCTAGAAAGAACTGGCAGGGAAGTAGACAATGTGCACGGTATAAATAGGAAGAAACTAATCAGGTGCAGCTGGTGGTGATTCAGGGGAC